TTAGCGAGCAGGGGGCGGAGCCTCCTAGTATTCTATATTTATATTATAGACCATCTAATTTATCCAATTATCGAATTTATATATCGTCTAATTTAACCCATTGATACACGAACGTAAACTAGTGTAAACCGGTTTCAGCAGCGTAAAAACAATAAATCTGTATAATATCACCTGATTATTAAGGTTTTACGCAGAATCTTTTAGTGCGTCTAATAATTTGACCAGGGACTATTTCTATATATATATATATATATTTCTCTTACACCGTGACAAAAAAAAAGCCCCATTACAACTCCCCAAATGGCAAAGCTAGAAAATCGACCAATGATTGCCGCTAGAAATGTCACATGCCAAATCTAGCTGAGGTGGATCAACGTATAGCGCTTTTAAAAACGGATACTGAAATGACCAGAGTGAGCATTCTCACCAAGTGTGATCTGCTGATGACAACCTAAACAAAATGGAATTGAATAGGGGGGAAACTGGATCCTACCACGCGATTTTCCGACCAATAAAAATGCGCTGACAACAATGGAAAACGGTGTCAGATCATTATGATTTTATGTTATATAGAGAAACGTTTTCCTATAATACTATTTTTTTTTTAAAAAAAAGTTGTTATATGGATTTCAATTGAATTCTTAGTTGTTTTGAATTGTTTTGAATTCTTAGAATTTTGTGCATTTGCAATGTACCTAAGTTAGTTGAGAGCGAAGCGAGCAGGGGGCTCAGAACACTATTATATATATCTTCCTAGTGATTGTTTTTTTGGAAATAGTGAGGAAAAATAAATTACGTAAAAAATTTTTGATATTTCTTCAGATATAACGAAAATGAAAATAATAAAGTTTTGACAATTAAATTAATTATTGAAGTTGTGACAAATAATATATAAGAGATATTGTTTCATTAACCTTAAACAACTAGCACTAAAAAACGGAGTTACATATTTATTATAAGACAATTAAACGTTTGACAGTAAACATGATTTGTCTTTTGACAGAGAATATGATTTTATTTGCATTCGTTTTTGATCGCAAAAAAATTTTCAACTATCATCTGCTATCTTTCTCAACAACACTCTCCAGTAATTCAAGGAGAGCTGAAATCTGTGGATTCAATTCATCTTGGAAAGAGTGACTAGTCTTCTGCTCCAGAATTCGTGACTTTAATTCTGTGACTGTATTTAAAGATAGAGGCGAGGACCAGATTACGATTTCTTTCCCATGATTCCAGTCATCATCAGTTAGTGATTGATTTAAGAGCAGAACCTTTTTTAATCCTTTCTCAGATAGTATAAGTTCGTTTTTGTAACGCTTTACTTCATTGATATTAACAAAAGATGCATTTAAAAGCAAGGTGGCACTTTCAAAAAAGCCTTTACTCAGTGCATACTCTATACAACTACGACAAATAAGTCGAAATTCTGCTGTGATTTCAAGAGAAGACAAGTTGTAGTTTATAAATTTTTGTAACGCATTGCCTTCTGTTTTTGATACAATGAACGGCATTTCTATGAATAGCTTGAAAAAATAATTATCACTTTCTCGCAGAAAGTCTGCTTTAAATTGTTGAATTTCCTCCCTCGTCTCGAAATACCAATTCATCAAATGATTCACAAGCTCATAATTGGACAAAAATATTAGTGCCAAATAGATAACATACGGAGGCCGCTTAGTTTTCTTAAATGTTTCAATTCCAGCAGATTGATAAGCCCATCTCAAGAAAGATTCAACTGCTTGGATGTTGCCATCGCATATCCACTCAATACAAATATGCCAATAATTAAGTTCATTAAGCCACGATGTTATCAGCTCGTTGCGATTGATTTTATAGGGATAACATTCTGGTGGCAAGGTAGATTTTGATAATAACATGAGGAGTGAATTCAGATTGCTTGAGTAAATAGCACTCTTAAATTCTTGCCGACCAAATATAAAGCAGATATATAGTTTAATCTCTTCTTTGGAAGCATCATTTAATATCCTAATAGCCATGTTCAGATTTCCTATATTCAACAAATCCAACAACACATCTAAGCAAAGAAGTTCATTTTTCAGAAATGATCGTCTTAGTCTTAAAGAACTGGCACTCCATATTTCTTTAAAAATCATCATTTCATTTCCCATGTAACCCTGAAATTTCATCGTTGAACTAATATTCTGCATTATAAATGAATAAGTGTCTTCTTGAAGATTATTCAATAGTTCAAAAATTGTGGACAAGAATATTCTTTGATATGGCCAACTTCTGAACAAAAACACTAATACGATAGAATGATTCTGAAAAAATTCGGTCATTTGAGTTATACGATTGACATGAGATAATAAAAAACATAAAACATCTAAAGTTTCTGAAGGATTCTGATAAAATAGACTATATATAAATTCCATACGTCGAGTAGCTTGCAAAAGCCATTTACTCAAATGATCATTTTTCTCCTGCTCCGACAATTTTTTCCAAAAGTGCTTTAGGGCAACTATATTACTTACTCGAATCGAACAAGCAATCATATTTACATCAATACTAAGCTTATCATCGTATATGTTTTCATGATCTATGAGTCTAGTTAGTAAACTCCCTAAATTATTCTCGAGGACAGAGGTCCAATATATTATCAAATCACGCTTGTAATTTTCCCAAACCAGAACGATTCTAAATAGGTTTCTAAATTGTTCTGGAATTTTCTCCCACAAAATTGAAGCATATTCCCCTAAACAGCGAGAGCAAGCTCGCTTATACAAATGGCTAATATTTAAGCTTCCTAAGCGTCCCTTATCGAATAGTTCCGTAAGGGATTTCACTATGTCAACTGTTCCCTCAACTCTCCAATAAATTGTACCATGCTTCAAGTAATACTCCCAGAGATTTCTTTTATATTCTGTCCATATGCAGTAACTATGAAGCGCTTTCGACAACTGCATCAAAATGGGAAGAATAACGTATGAGATTTCGGTCTTCAGGGATGAGGGCAAAGAGATAGTGGACAATCTGTTTAATATTCTTTTCTCCAACTCAGCCATAAGTCTGCTATCGTTTGAGAAAAAACCTACTGAAGTAGGCGTCATTTCATTCCTTATATCAGGAGCCATACATAGCCCAACTGCAACCGACACTACTGCAATACGTTGCAGGGAAGGAGGTTCAGAAAAATTGTTTATGAAGTCGATTTCCGTCGATTCTGTTTTAAAAGTCTTGAGTGTCCAGTTTCCAGATATCTTTTCTTTACGGACTCCATCTGCAAAATACAATTTTTAACTTTAGTTTTGAATTAAAGATTCGAATGAAAACAGTTCAAAGAACATAATGCATACATAATTTATCACGAAGCTACATTTAATCTACATGTTACTGGTTAAAAAGAAATTAAACATTGTTTACAATACTCAGGTTATGTCTAATGCGATATTGTTACTATTTTACGATTTTTTACGATTTTAAACTCAAATTTGTATACTTTTTTTCAACTTAAGAGATTTTCAACAAATCGGTCATTGAATATATTTTTGAATACCAATTATTAACTACTTCCTTGTGGTATCGTGCAGTGGTAATTTCGTGCAGTTTGATCAACTGGAAATTGCTAGCATGAAATATGAGAAGTGGTATATTGATATTCGCAAGATATACGGTATCATTGACTCTACAATTTTGTTTAAACTTGCTGTATGATGAAAGATTTTAGCTTTTAGCTATGGACATTACATAAAAAGTGATACGCATTAAAAACTGTTTTTAATCGTAATTAGCTATGCATGTTATTAATACATTTTCATAATTTAAAAGTAAGAAAGTTGAAATTAATGAACTATGTACATTTGTGTTCAAAAGTACATAATTTTTGCAAGGAATTCAGAGAAAATACGTTTTAGTGTCTGATTTCGTCACTATACATATAGCCTGCACTAATTGATTTGCATATTTAAGTTCACTCCCTTAAACTATTAATAAGTTATTCAGTGTGATTCGTTTTAACTTCTTTTTTGCGCACTGCATAGTGCGCAAAAAAAAAATCACCCAGAATAACTTTCTTTCTAATGGTTGGATTTTCACGTTCTAAGTGTCAATCTTAATGAGGGGGTAACCTTCAATATGCTAATATTTTATCGCTAATTGTTAATAAAGTTACGAGACGCAAAAATGTAATTTCTCTGAATAATTTTTTTTTTTACATATTTGGATTCTTGACCTGCAAAACATAAGAGATGGCTGTGATCTGGAAATTGTGACCCTAATAGTTTGGTCCATAGAGTCCGTTTTGTTTTTAGTCATATCTTGATAATTAAATGAGCGATTTCCAAAAAAAAGGAAAAAATTGCACTCACTTAGGAAACCTATCTACCGAAAGATAATTTAAATTAAAAACAATAATTTTTAATAATTATTTATTATTTAATTTAATTGTAGATGAAAAAATTTTGAATTATGAGGTTTAAATTTTTTTATACCATATAACCCCACGTATTTTTCTATAGCAAAATCTAAAGTTTAAACTGTTTTTATTTAGTAGAAGCAGAGATAAATTAAAATTAATTACTTTTTTAAAAAATGATTTGGTGAAAATATAGAAATATTTAAATGGGGAGATTAATATTTAAATGTGGTTATTGTACGAGGAATTTTACTTACGCATGCTTAGTGTAAAATTTCATTAATATTTTTTCAGCTTATAGCCGAAATTAATCTTTTCTTTTAATTATGAAATACGATGAAGTCATCTGAAAATTTACTCGTAATTTAGCAAAGAGTTTCGAATAAAAAATTTTATTTAACGAATGTTGAGTTTTATAAGATCATATAATGTTTTATTAATATTGTTTAACTCTTCAATTCAAACATTAAACAACGGAAGATTAATCAGTACTCAAATTCAATTGGTCCCCTCATTCAATAGTACATAACTGAAGTTTGACCTTGCAGGTTAAGCTATTAGGGACTAAGTGCTAGATTAGTCATAAACAGCCTTATTTATCTATTCAAGAATACTTTTATTTCATTCATGTTCGATTCTTTTAGCATAGTGGTGATACATCACCAGTGTCAGTAACTGAAACTGATGTAACTGAACTCAAAACTGTTAATACATTTTTCAGTTATTTTGTATTTCCAATTTAAACTAATTTATTTATATTTAAAAACATTTTTTTTTATAAATAGATGTCTTTTTTATCATCCTGTAATGTAGAAATTATAATATTATTTTTTTTTAAATATTGTGAAAAATAAAAGATTAATTTTTAAACAAATTTAGTATTTTTTTTAAGTTATTATTATTTTTTAATATTGCATTTTTATCCTTATGCGAAAACATTATTTATCAGTATTAAAAGAATATTTATATTTAAAGGATTAGGTATTCACTTTATTTATTCAATGAATTGTGGAGCTTCAAAAATTATAAACCTTTTCTTATTATATTATATTATTTTCCTGTAATAAGTTAAAGCAAATTGTATAAAAAATATCAGATATTTATTGATACATGTAATTATTACGTGTACAGTCCGCAAAGAAAAAACGAATCACCCTGAATAACTTTCGTTCTAATGAGCGAATTTTCACGAACGAAGTGTCAATCTTAATGGTTACTGGGAGTGACGTCAAATATGTTAATTAATTAGCGCTAACTATTAATTAAGTTACGAAATCAGAAACAAAAACGTACTTTCTCTGAATAAACATATATATTCTTTCTACATATTTGGAATTCTGACCCTTCATCCTGTAGACAAAATTTCGAAAAAATTGGGTCGTAAATTGGATCGCAATAAAGATTTATATATATGGCGAAAGTTTAAAAAGATGCCAAATTACCTCGCCGTATAAAGTGAAACAATTTAAAACAACCTTAAAGAAACTGAATGAAAGACGAGACGTCATAATATTGTGCGTCTCAGTTGCTATAGGCAACCAAGAAGAGAATTTTTGGATCTGCTTTCTGGGCATAGAAAATAGTATTCGTTTTCATACTTTGAAAATAAAATTTGAATTTAAAATGAAATTATTTTTGATTTTCCAAAATTTAAACGTTGAACTTATTATCTGACATTTTTTTAATTTTTTTAAAGATATTATTTGTATAAAAATGCTGTACTAAACCCAAATTTACTTAAGTTATTATAAATTTATGATTTATGAAGAGTTGTAAAGCTAATTGATTTTACAGATCAGTTCAAGTCTTTCAGGTAAGGAAAAGAAAAAAGAGATCCTGCCAAAAATTTGGGGCATGATTCTAATGCGCAATCAAAGGGTTTTATAAAATTCACGGTATTTCTTTTCGATGAAATTGAAATATATATGTATATGAACAAGGGAAAAATTACAGAACAATGGAAAAAAGGGGGGGGGGGAAGAAAATAATAAAAAAAACAAAGAACCGGGAGAAAAAATGACAAAAAAAATTTTTTAAAAATCCGGAAAATAAAAGATATAATCTTCTTATCAGCCCACACGATTATATCCGCAATATTAGAAAGTCCTCTTTTTTGCGGATATAATCGTGTGGGCCGATGAAAAGATTATATCTTTTATTTTCCTGATTTTTGAAAAAAGAAAATTTTGTCCTTTTTTTCCCCCTCCCGCTTTTTGTTATTTTTATTTTTTTCTATTTTTTCTTTTTTTTCCCCTTTTTTCATTGTTCTGTAGTTTTTTCCTTGTTTTGAACTTATTTTATGAGTTCTATTTACTTGCAGCTTACTTTTTAATGTTTTTACTTTTTCTTTTATTTTATTTTCTGTTTTTACATGTTACTTATTTTTACTTTTTGTGATCTATTTTATTTGTTGTTATTTTCATAAAAAAAATTTTTTGAGTGCTCCTCACACTATTGTATTAATATATTTAGCTTCGGCTTTATTGATACAATATCAGAAAGCACTCGGTTTTGCCGATGTAATCGTGTGGGCTGAAGAAAAGATTAATATCTTTTTTTCCGGTTTTCTAAATAAAATTTCATTCTTTTTTCTTCTTTTTTTTCTTTTTTTAATCTTTTTTTAAGAATCTGAGCATGTTTTAAGTATCACAACAACATCGCAATTTACAACAAACACGAGACATTTTTATAAAAGAAAATTGGATAAATTTGCGTAAACATTTCATAATTCGAAAGCTCCCTGCATTGTCGCCTGCATTTATTCTCTAAGCATGTTGTTCGTTTCAAACTTAAAATTTAGATTGATCGCGCTCCCGTGTCACAATCTTCAATCCATCATCATCAAGTCGACGCTGAGCCCGAATCGCCCCCACAATTTCAAGATTCTTGTCATTGTGATAAAGGAAGAGGCCTTTTCAATTGTGCGAGAAAAGAAATGGAATAAATGCCACTCTCCAAGTCCCAATGCCAAAAATTTCCGTCAAATTTAGGAAATACTCTTGCCAAAATATCGTCCCGTCTTGAACAAAGTATATATACCATGCAGTCCATTGAAAATCTCAGAGGAAGACCGATAGTGTGGAGATAATAAAAAAGCACCTAAAAATCTTCCCATATAGATATAAATATAAAAAAAAATTCAANTGACATTTTATGAGGCGTAAAGGGGACAAAGTTTAAAATAGTGCTGTGTTAATATTTTTATCAGAAATTAAATTTAAAATTGATTTTCGGAATTCTATATTTCAGTATTCTGAAATAAAAAACACGAATTTGTAAAAAAAAAAATTATTTCAGAAACAATTTTTTTCTTTTTTTAAATCAGCAGTGGGGACAAGTGAGGGAATGACATATTGGAATATATTAATTACCTAAATTAAATAAAAAATAAAAACTGATAATTTTATTTTTATTCTTTTGTTAGCTTGCATTCTGAAGGACACTTTCCTTGAATTTTTTTTTTTCGTTAGCTGTAAAACAAACATAAAATATACTGGGGACATGAAAATGACTGTTTTTGTGAGAATGACCCATATATATATGTATACATAAGAGTAAATTTTACGTGTAGTTTTATTTTATTGTTAAAGGTCATTTCGATATGACAAATATTTAGGTTACATGTTTTTCTTAAATAAGTAAAATTTGCAAATAGCATCCCTATGTATAAATTCCTAAACTGATTTTTGCAAACATGTTTTTTTCCTAAGCTCTTCGATTGCGATCAGTTACTTATTTATCACCAAATATGGTTACTAAAGTTTCTTTGTTTTATTCCTTTATTTGAAAACTTATTTTTCTATTTTCACCATCCACTACCGACATCTGATACGATAGTGCCATTTTAAGTAGAGTTCGTAAGGTCT